TCATCTTGTCTCTATTCCACTGATTTTCTCAGCTCTTGCATTAGCTCTGGGACCAGGTGAGCCGTTGACACTCTATTCAACACCCGAGGTATGTCGCTGAACTCCACCGTTACTTGAACCGAATTTCCGCCCAGTCTACATCTCTCAAACAGCGTCGTCTGCAAATGGGTAGCCCTAGCGGTCTCAACCGCTCTAGATAAGGTATTGTTTCTAAAAATATCTGCTAGTCTGACTTGGATACTTCACTAGTAGTTTTTGGCAATATATTTATTGATTGACACAATTGCTACGCCTCAGAAATTATGAATCTCGACTGACCTGACCCTAGGCTAGGGTAGCCGGGTCACCGGTGATGGGGCATATAAAAATTCAGCCTTGTTTTCATACCAAACTGGGCAGTTTGGCATCTCTTTGACTGCTGGGACGTTGATGGAGCGCTAGAGCCGAGCTTCAAGGTTGCTAGTAAGAATGTCAAGCGTTAACAAGTGTCCGTGCTTTGTGTCTGTACTTATCAGCCCAGAAGGTACTCCTAAGACCAAAGACGGCGCGCTATGACTACAAGAAGAATAGCGGTGTTCACACAATGGCCGAGACTGAATACATGACGAAAACCCTGCGAGCCAAGATGTCTGTTTAAGACTGGAGGACTTAGCACTGTGAAACGGCGATGACTCCTTAGTACAGACTAAGCGGAGCTCTAACCGGACCATTGTCATAAGAATTACATGACCGGAGCTTTGACCGATGTCACTTGCGGAAACCAAGATGATTGCGGAACGATCAGGGCAACCCACAAGGATACCCCTATATAAAGATGGACCCACAGTGTGGACAATTGTTCATACCAAGGAACGTACTTTTGACACAAGACAAGACGATGAGAATCACATAAGAGAGTACAGAAGGGACTAAAGGACTGGTCTTCTTTCTGCACTTCTCGAAATACCTGATCGGCAAGAGACTCCACTAGGAGGTTTCACCCGGTTGTACTATTAATAGCAGGATGACTGATGTCGTGCGGCCACCTTGGCAATCCGACTCGGAGACCCCTGTGAATGACTCAAGAACATTATGTTATCATTTCTGGACAGTATTTAAGGACTCTAAGTTTGTAGTAAATAGTTAGAACATTGTAGGGCATTGAACCCAGTTAGTAACAAGTGACCGCCTGACCAAGGCTGGAAGCTAGTAGCTGACTTGTGGATAAATATTACTTTGTTTCTCGGACTCAGTTACCGACGATTTGACGATTTGAACAAGTTTGAACAAAGTCTAGTCTAGTCTAGTTGCTTAGTGCACCCTCTAGTCTCGAAAGAGAAACCTCTAGTCAAGTTCTAGTCTAGTTCTAGTTAAGCTGCTTAGTGCAAATCGCGCTTCGGTCAAGAGACCACAAACCCTAGTGTTACCACACTTTAAACAAGCTATAACCCAGTAAAAAGCTCTCAAAGACGACCAGACGTAAGACACTGAGTACGGACAAGTGTTTGTGCTTTGGACTATCTCTATTATAAGAAACCCGAACTTATCGAGGATATAAAGAGTGTATTGGTGTGTTGGTGTTGTTGTGTGTGTTGTTCATTCGCATACTCATATATCGACGTGCTTTCCACACCGTCCGCAAGGATCCCTCACACCGGCTTCTCTTATCCGGCAGAAATAGCGAAGACATATATTCTTGTCCTGCTCGATCCAGCACTCCAGGAGCTTAGATCTCTCGTCAAAACACTCGGGAAACACCACAGTTGAGGTTTGTAGCAAAACCAGTTCATTCGCTCCAGCCAGGAAAATCTCAGACGATGGCATCCTTCACACCGTACTGCACACGGTTTTGCCTGGAACCACAACCTCAAAATAAGATCTCAGTCAACCTGTGGATGGCCAGACCCAAACTCTATCATTCTGCAGCAGAACGTCGTGCTGCTAATGCTCTTTACAACCGAAACCACCACGAGAAGTAGCTTTTTACGCTCCTCTGCTGGCAGTTGCTGATGAGCTTGTCTCAGGCACAAAGACAAAAGAAATCAAATTCGAAAGGAGAGACACCAGGAAAACAAGCGACTGTCCATCTCTGGCTTCTTCGTTGTGGATTCTCTTCTGACTCGCCTCTTAGTCGAGAAGCTCAAGAAGCGAGAAAGGAGAAAACAGCCCGTCTCGCCGCCAAGAAGCGCCGAATCAAAGCGAAGAGGTGTGTATCTCCTTCTCCTGTTCTTTGCTCTGCTGAAGACCTCGCATCAGCCTCTCTGATGCTGAAGCTCAGAGCAGTCCCAACCAGGTCCTCTTTCCGCTTCAGTCCCCTGACAAGACTGGCCCTGCAGCCAAAGTCTTCGAAGAATTTCAGTGCTACACGGTTCGAAATCCACGACGCTTTCTCCAGGCAGTCATGGAAGATTATCTTCAGACAAAGGACAAGCCCAGCGTCTTTGCCACTGCTCAGATGCTCCAATCCTTCGTCGAAAGGCTCAACATTGACCCGTCGCCCCAAACCAACAAAATAAAGGAATCACTTACCTTGGTTGCTGGCTGGGCCACTGAAATTCGTATTGAAGTGCATCGTAGCTATGATTTTACTCTGAAACGGTTCCAGAATCGTCACTTTTTATTTCAGCGAGACCATGACAACGACAGTCTTGGATTTACAGTAGAGGAGTAATGTAATTGTTCCTCATTTCTAGCCTGATTTCTTGAAGACAATCACCTGTACAGTTGAGCGGGTGGCCTGGAATAAGCCGATCATCCTGACAACAGCGCTGATGCACCAGCGAGGCCGCATTGAAAGGCACCGAGAGTCAAGAACAAAAGATACTATATACAAAACGCTGTCATTTAAGCGAGGCCACTATATAACGAATACATGAAAGCATAACTACAAGAGATTGATATTTGCTGTCGCTCGACAATGACCTAGGCGATAACCTGGACAAAGCCATTAGCAAGAGCAGCATTAAATGCTGCCTCAGCTTCAGTCCTGGTCCCATATCGCTTGAATACAGCGCCTTTGACCCCAACGACGTGGCGAGCGACGACGTTCCTGAAAGGAATTGTCAGCTCAAGACTTGAAGGAAAAGAAGGAACACGACATACCAGTCAGTGAAGATGCCAACTTGGGTGCCTCTGGTAACAACGTACCAATTTTCTCTGGGTGGTGGCGGTGGGAAACGGTGCTGGCAGCTCGGGCAAGTCAAGAAGTGAGGGTTCTCTGGAGTGGCGCTAGAGCTAGGGCCTGAGACGTCGGATCCCTGGCCAGGATTTGCAGCTACAACGACGGTGTCGTCGTCATCTTCTGTCGGCTAAATCAGTATGGCAAAAGGTCGGAAGAGAAGTGCTTACCGTCGACAGATTTATTTTCGGCGGCTAGCCGACGTTAGCAGAGCAAATGAAAGAAGCAATAAAGCATACCGTCAGCATCATTCGACTTCTCATCTGAAGGTCATCAGCTAACGAAAAGCACAAGGATTCTAGCTTACCCTTGCCTTCATCTTCGCTGGAGACCCTGGCGCTGTCGGGGGCCGATCGTCCTTAAACACTGTTAAAAAAAGAATGATGGCCGGCGATAAAATTTACCGATTGTCAGATCAGCGACCTGAGCGGTCAAGGTATCGATTCGGTCCATCAGAGCCATGAGAATCTGCGCTGAGACAGCAGCGGGAGGAGTATCAGAAACTGGAGCTTTGCCTTTGTCAAACATTGTAGAAGTTGAGGTTTGGATGGGTGGGAAACCTGGTTAAGGTTTAAATAGCCGTAGACCACTGTACAGTTCCCAGCCCCACTCGGGTTAAACCGGCGATCAGCTGACCCTGGTTTGATTACCGAACAGCTTGAACAGCAACCTCAAAAATGTCCTCCTTTGGTCCCTCAAAAATCGATACTGAGGAAGAAATTGCTGTAAGTAAACTATCTTGCCGTTTCAATGTCTCATCCTTTTCAGGCCAAGTTTGCCACCGCTGCTTTCGATGCGGAGACCATGGGGGGCATTCTCCTGGGGCCAAACGGTCTTCCAAAAATTCATACAGAGGAAGAAATTGCGGTCAATAAGCAGTCTACCTTCTGTATTCTATGTCTCATTCTTTTCAGGCTATGGTGGCCGATGCTACTTTCGCTGTGGAGACCAAGGTACGCTCTCCGCTCAGTATTACGCGTTCAAGGAGTTTACTGTTCAGATAATACAAACCACCATGTGCATGCAAGGCATCCCATCTGTCCACCAGGACATCATCAAGGCTGAGCTCATTGACCATAGCCAGCATCAAGGGGCAAGCTTCGCGATGACCGAAGAGACAGACGAAGATTATCACCGCTGCCTCCAGCAAAGTGTCGATGTGAGCATCCTTCCTTTGGCCACAGCATTGTCAGCTGAGTTTTCCACAGCATATCGTGAGATTCTACGAAAATCACAAGGTACAAACATCCTTGGAAGCCGATGATCCTGCCCGAATTAAGGTGCACTCTGTATTTTATTCCTGCCCGGCAGCTACTGACGCCTCATCTGCAGCGAGAGATTGCTGATGCTCGAGCTGATATGGCTCAGTTTCTCGTTGCAGAGACCGACAGGATGACGGCCTACAACAAGCAATTATTGCTCCAGCTGGAGAAGGACCAGCGCGAGCGTCGTGCTGGAAGAGTCCAGCGTTTGTGTTCCCCATGTGGCCTGATGCAAAATGTGAGTAATTTAACTGAAGCTGTTAGCTCTATTGGCTAACCTTGAATTCTAGATTCGGGATCTCCACATTAACGACAATTCAGAGCAACTCGAAACCGACAACTGGTGGCCCAAGATGGTGAGTTTCGGCACCATTTTTTGCCTGCTCCTCATTCACCAATATACAGAACTAGCTGGGACACAAGTGAATGTATATTCTTCTTGTACTGTATCTACATATGACAAATGTATGCCATCTTGATAGCTGTCGCAAAACTCTTGACTTGGGCTCGACTATTGGTTTTCCTACAAGCTCTCCCAAAACCCGGGAAGGTATAGACTCATGTTGCGGCTCACAAAGCAGGTCGCTATAGCTCAGTTGGTTGAGTCCCCAAGAGTCAGCTCTGCAGAATTCTAGGTTGTGGGTTCGAGTCCCACTAGTGGCATTAGAGAAGGGCACAATGTTTTTGATACCGAAGCCGCTTACATGAATGCTGACCGGCGTTCAAAGTGATTATCAATCAAGCTTCCTTTCAACGACGGCATGGCTTCCACTCTCTCTCTCAGTGACCAATCCATTCCCATATCTGATCCCATGTTTGAGGCAACCCTCTTGGTGCGTCCATCTCTCCGTTTCTACTCTTCTCATCCTCTCAACAAATTTTAGGGAATCGAAAGTATTATTATAGGACATCAGCCAGCAACACCGCTGGTTCTTGAAGGAGAGAGGTGTAAGATATGTCTGCTCTGCAAGCAAACCAGCAAGGCGACTGGTCTTCTTGTACGTTGGAACCGTAGCCGCATCTTCACGCTCTGAATCAGGCCAAGCACAACCCAGACTCTGTACCTTGGCGGTCGCTAGCCCACTCTACGCTTTCGACCTTCTATCCCAACTTCCTTCCCAAGGATGCCTTTCATCGTCGCCCTTTGCTGAGACCAGCGCCGCTTCCCAAGGTAATTTTCACGCGACCACCTTCTGTCACTGAACTGAAACGACTAGGATTTGAAAATACAGTTGCTACGAGCCATGAGTGGGGAGAGTGCTTCCTCCTCTAGATTGTAACCCTTCTTTTAGAAATATTGAGTTCTTGACTGGCTTGCAATATCTACGCATCAATCGTTTTAGGACCAGCCATTGAGGTGTCTAGTTGGAAGCTTTGACTTTGAAAAGGAGTTAGATGGACACGAGCTCCTCAACCAACACGTTTTACGGTGTCTTCAACATGCTTTCCGCGGATTTGGAACGTTTCATAATTCCAGGTAAGCTACGCCGCTACACCAGTGCCTGCACTGACTAACTTGATACCTAAATTAAAGTTTTTGTGACGGCTTCCATAAAGGCTATGGATCACGGTGCATCTTTCTTTGCTCTTGCTTCGTTCTATCCACCTTCACGAGCAGCAGCCTACAATGTCTCTTGCGAGCCAATCTCTCAAACACTCGCCAACTCAACAAGCTAATCTCGTCCTGGAGATATTGTCGATTTCTGGTATCTTTCTTCTCTCTGACAGAACATACAGAGCCTGCATGCAAAGCTCCGGTGGACAGTCGACGACGACGCAGTGGACACCCTGGTCGACACAATTGTGAAGCTCTTGGGCAGGATGTCTTCTCTTGACACCCGTATTGACGACGCTATTGGGGCTATGAATCTCACCCAGAGTGGATTGTCGAAATATAAGTTGCCTCATTTCGACTGGGATGCTGAAGTACTATTTTTGCCATCTTTTATTCACCTGCTCACTCAATCATAGATGGCCATCGTCAACCGGTTGTACGCTGGGCCTAATGCTTTGCATCTGGGAATCAATGCTCAAGTTCAGGGTACCGAGGCAGACATCGAGGCTAGAGTCCAGGTTTGGCCTCATAAAGAATTGGAATATAACCCTTTCTAACTATTCTAGCAGGCTGCTGAAGACGCTGCTATCAAGAATAGTGAACCGTTTAACAGAGAGAAATCCAAGGTAGACTTTTTTCATGGTCGAGTTTCTGCGCGACTGACATCAGACTTTCCAGGACGACATTATCGCCTTGATGGATGCAGAGCTCGAGGCTTCCATTCAAAGGACCGAAGAATATATGGCCCTTGTGAAGCTGAAGAAGGAAGACACAAAGGCAGAGGTGTTGATGATGGCCGAGCACATTCTCAAGTATGTCGAGAACATGGAATCTCCTTCACTGGGAGAGCGTTAGGGCATCAAACACAACATTGTAAATATTTGAATTATTCCAATCTTGTTTGAACGTGTACCTTCTTTTGGGCTCTTGTGGTCAAACCTTCGAGAAACTTCTGGCCGAACCTTTGAGAAGAATCGGCTGAAAATGTCACGGGTCCCGGCTACGGTCTCTCGTTCGTCTTGACGCTTTTCTTTTCACGTCCACTAAGGAATCATGAACTCGGTTGCTCATACAAGCCATTGCGACCTCTGCATCAAAGGAATTCCACCTTTTCCCACTGCAACTACCGACAGAGACGGTGTTGAGAATTTCTGGTTCGCTCTCAAACTGCAGGCTCAGTTGCCAGGTCTGCACCTATATCCAGCTCCAGGCTTGCCAGGCCTCAACCATCTATCGGCGCTGTATAATCCCTCAGTGAATACCTTGTCCTATCCTCGATCTCAGAGTTAATGCTTCCTTAGCCTTCTCAGCTTTCTCCTGTGATAATCTATGATTACGGTGCTGGTTTCCAAGGTCCATCATCAGTCTTGATTTCGGTCTGTCAATCTCTTGCGCTTGCTCTGAGCTTCAAGCCTTCATGACACTAAACACCGACATTTCATCACAGACACCTTATGACTCTGACGATTCCGATGACCTTCCAGCATTGGTTTCTGATGAATCCACTTCATTGAATCCTTCGGTGGGAGAACAACATCAGGGTCAACCCCAAGTCGCCTTCGAGGCTCGGCCGGTTGTGCGCAGAAAACGGTCCAATTAGGCCTTGGTATGTCCTTTCCCTTGTGGTGATCGGAATCCCTCACAGTATTCTGTCCAGGTTTCAGCTGCGCCAATGTCATTTTGCAATTCTCGTCCATTTATTACAAAAAATTACTCGCTTCCTGTAGTTTGCTCGCAATGAACCTTTCTTCAATGTTTTGTGCTACAACGAAGGGAGATTTAAAATACCAGCAAGAATACAACGTCAAACAACAGCCATATCGCCCTCAGAGATGCCGCTGACACTCTCATTTCCTCGAAGCACCGCGAAGATGGCTGCAAGGACCCAGACACCACAATCAAAAGAGTTGCTCTGGCGCACATTAGACGAGTCCTGATGAGGAATATGAAGGGGCATTGAGACAGGCTGAGGAACATTCTTACCACCAGAGGGATCACCTTCCAGCTCTCCACTGGAACTGTAAGTGAATGACCATTCTCGTTGGCGAGGTTGATTAGCAGCTGAATTACCTCCACGATTTGCTACGAAGCATTAAGATAAGAGGCCAGCGGAGTGAGAAAAGTACATACTGCCACTTCCTTGTCCAAACCCCGGACTTGTCCGAAACTGTCAAACAGATGGATGGTCCCTGTGTTGAGATAGACCACATAAAGGACCCAGTGCTGTGCAGCAGCACGGTTAACTGGTATCAGCCAAATTGACCGATTCCAGAACTCAGTGTGCCTGACCAAGTTCCAAACAGAGACACGATTGCACTGCTGAAGGAGATAGGTCGAAAGTAGTGCGATTTTGGGGTGATCATGGTGGCGAAAGACATGATCAAAGAGGACACCGGCTCCAACAATGATGCAGTCGTCGTTGAGCCAGCCTCGAGGATCAACGAGCTGGTGGATATCGACACCCGAGATCGAGTTCGAGCAAAGTCCTTTGCGCCCATCGCCGAAAAACCTGCGGGATTGAGTCATAGGTGTTCGGGTGGGGAAGAACGACTGAGAGAAGGCCTTGAATGGGGCCAACAGGTGTTCGGAAGATATATTGTGCTGTATAACCTGGTTATAAATGGTTCATATCTGGAACATGACTAACCAGAGCATCTTCCGAAAGCAATTTGACCTGATAAGCAGCAGGTAAAGCCCTCTGAAGCGCTATCGAAGAAGATCCCATGAAGGGCAATGCTGGATCCTGAGTATTATGAATCAGAGTTGAGCTTGCAAACTGGATCGAAAAGCCTTACAGAGATTTCCGCTGAGGGCGAATGTATCTCATCTAGGTCTCCCTCATCATCCAGATCTAGGACCTCCAGAATGTCTTCCAAACGAACATTGCTTGCTGGGACCTCAGACTCAGAATCTGTGTCGGTGTCGCTCAGCTCCTCAGCAATAGTGTTGTCTGCTGGTCAATGATGGATGATGGGTTGCCAAATCCACGGTTCTGCAGTCCTGGTTAGACGTTGAACTAATTCCAGTGCTGATGAAATGTGGTTATCAAAAGCGGCGAGCGAAACCATTGGGGTAGTCCAGTGTCATTTCAAGGAGAGCAGTCGATCCCGCTGCTGACATAGCAGCTTCGAGAAGGGTTGGACTGATAAAAAGATCAGTTAATGTGTAGATACCGAAAGTAACAGACATACAGCGCTCACAACGAATTGCTAACTCTAATGCAGCGAGCTTGCGCCCGAACCAGCGACACATGTTGTCGGATTCTCGACCTAAGCGACACCGCTCTTCGTCGCAGCGGTCGAGCCGAAGATGGGCCCGGATTGCATTACGAAGGTCCAGGTCGGCCAGCCACTGAGGGATTTCACCGTCGGCAGACTTGGAAATCCAAACATCCTCATGGAGATGAGGGCAGTCGCGTAATTCCTTGATTGTTGTCAGAAGCCTGTCAGGGATAGGGATTCGACAGTCAGGATTGTCCTCAGCCATCTCCTGCAGCGTGTCAATGTGACCATTGAACACTTTTATACCGTTGGCGATGACCGGCGCTCTTTTCTGAATAGACTTGCGAGTTATTTGATGAGCTTTGGTCCCTATAGTAAAACGTGAATGGGTATGGAGAGTCAGAATGATAATGTCTCACCCAGCGCCTCGTTTCCGCCACCGACAGCTTGGTCCAATCGGTCCATCTCAAAAAAGCACCCAATGATTTGCCTTCTCAGACTCATCTTGAGATCGCGCGCCAGAAGCAGAACCTGAACGAAGGAGATGTCGATGCCTTCGAGCTCAGGATATGTCTCTGTGACGTTGAGAGATGCATAAAGCTCATCAGCTTCGGCCTTCATCCGAGCGTGTGTTACTTCGAGGACTCGGAGCCGAGCCAATGCTGTAGTAGAGCCAGGGACCTGCTTTAAAGTGGCACGAACTGAACAAATAGAACCTTCGAGGCCCTCAATGTCGCCTTGCAGACAGAGGACCTGGTGAAGCTGCTTCTTGAGACGTGCTGGAAGATCTGAGAGATGGGAATTTAGATGATGATTAAATTAGTCGCAGGGAAAGCAAGACGTACGAGCTCTCATAGAGGTTTGAGATGCTCTCTGGGCTTCCCACT